GAATGGCAAGCTGCTTCCTATGATCTGTTTGCTCTGGTCTTCCAAGCAGTTCTAACTTCAGACCTTAACTCCTTCCGTGCTAAAGACTGAAAAGAAAAAAAAAAGGACCGAGGAGTTTCATGTAATCAATTAGTGATCCAATCAATAAGGTAATGCAGAGGGCAACCCTGCAAAAATAACAGGAAAAGACCTAATCCCACGATTTCCCCAGTAACAGCTAAAGATCTCACTACCAGGCGCCCTGCAGGTGTTCTTTTTGCCCAACTTCTGAAAGGGCTGCATGGACAGAAAAGAGACGTAATCTCTCTCTTTCAAATTGTTCTTTGAGAACCTGCTTTTAGGAGAGTTCCTGAGTAAAAAGCAGGAGAAGGAGCTACAGCCTCAACCACAGCTCGTCCCGCTGCTGGTTTTTGTTGTCGACTGACAGCCTCACTTTTTATTTTCTCTTCGCCCCCTTAAATCCACAGACCACCTGGCTTCAGGGCTGGCTCTCTTCTCTTTCTCTGGGAGGCCACACTGTCTCCCTGATCTCTCCCCACCTTCTCTTCCCTCTTTCATTCTCTCGTTCTCTTATCCTTCTAAAAAGATACGATAAAGGTTTTCACTTTTATACCTTGATCTCTGCATGAGAAATCCTTCTCCACCTGCGCCGTGAGCACCTGCCGGCTTTCCGCCTAACAATAATGTAACCACATTCATCTCCGTTCCAGCACACAGACACGCTTAACTGCTTTGGGCCATTGTGCAACTTCTGTATTTTCTGGGACATTCATGTTTTCCAGATGCCCGTTAAAAACTGGCCCTGGAGCCAATGGATAGCTGGTCCCCAGCTCCTAGGACCCGATAAGAGCAAAAGGATTAAAGATTAAGAAATAACTTCACAGTATCAAAAGAAACTTGAAATGATAGCTAGAAACAAACAAAGAAAACATCCAAAATGTTCTAACTATAAAAATTCCTCCATTTAAGAAGGGCTTCAGGGACTCAGAACAATGTCACCAGATGCTGATAAGAATGGAAAGGAATAAAAAGGGAGAGGCAGAGAATTGTATACTTGTTTGTTTCAATGCCGGTGCTTTGAACAAAGTAGGTCTGCTGTCTGATCATTTTAATAGGATACCTTTATGAAGGTAAATGTCCGTATTGATATTTAACACCCTGGCATGTTTTCCAACCCTAAATGAGAGGAAGGCATTTACTCACTCTCTCTTTCCCTTTATGTTTGGCTTCTAAGGGGTTAGGGAAAATAATTTTAAAATTCACAACTCCAGTTCCAGCTGGTGGCTGCAGTGAGCTGCTGCCACATCACGCCTGTTCCCTGGTCTCACACACACCTGCCCTCCTACACACCTGCCCTCCCACACACCTGCCCCCCCACACCTCCGCCCCACACCTGCCCCCCCAACTTGCCCTCCACACCTGCCCCCCACACACCTGCCCCCACACCTGCCCCCCACACACCTGCCCCCCCACACACCTGCCCTCCACACACCTGCCCCACACACACCTGCCCTCCCACACACCTGCCCTCCACACACCTGCCCCCACACACCTGCCCCACACACCGCCCTCCCACACACCT